GGGGGGGGGAAAGGAGGGATAAGATCGCGCAATCTGACAGCGGTGAGATTTTCTGGTGGGGAGTGAGCGAGAGGTTTGCGGGGTTGGTGGTGTTGATTTTATTTTAATATAATATAAATATGATATATATGTATATAAATATTCATTTTTGGCAAAGTCACACTCATACGGTAGGTACGTACGTACGTACTACCGATAGATCCCAGCTCTGCCTCGCTCGCACTGCGACGGGAGTCGGAGAGTCGGGAGGAGGGGCCGTAGGTAAAACTGCCTACTTCGTGAACCTCGCTCCTCCGCTTGCGGCGTGAGCGTGAGATCTGTCCTGCGCGACGCACTCATCTAGCGACCTACGTACGTACCTACCGCCAGACCTACGACCTGATAGTCCGAAGCCGAGAATGGGAAGTTGTTCGAGGTGGGAGCTGATATTACATTCCGAGTAGCACCTGAGAAGATGCTGATGGGGTGGTGATGGTTACAGAGGAGGTGGGCGGCGGAGGAGAGGGCGTCGAGGGGGGCTTGGGGCTTTATGTAGGAGGAGTTGGAAGGGGGGAATGTGGAGGAGAGGGGAGGGAAGGCGAGAGGGTGAGTGTCTAGGGGAGTGATAGGGGGTAGGCGGATATGATGGCGGTGGAAGAGGAGCAGTGGCTGATGGGATGGAGGTGTGAGCGTGGGTTGAGCAGTATCCTGTTCTGATTATCACTGTGCGGAGTTCTCGCATCGGGGGGCAGAGCGGGCTCCGGGACGGGCATCACCACCGTGGCGCGACAACACAACTTTGCTTGGGGACTCGTTGCTGCACATCTCAGCTGCGCGCGCGGGAGCGCCCCTCCTATCTTGACGGCGTCCTGCCCGGCCCGCCACGTTCGAAATCCTCGTCCTCGCTGTCGTCTTTGAAGCCTTCTTCCAAGTCCCGGCTCAGCCGTCTCCCATCCTCATCCCGCCCGCGCCGGGCGTCCAGTGACAAAGCTTCTCTCCGATGGTCGTCCACCTCATACAATTCTTCGCCCTCCTCTTCATCAAAGTCACTCCCAGACCCGTCCTGGGCACTGACGGCGTACCGGTCTCGTCCAAAGTCGGCCCTCCAGGTAGACGGGAGAAGGCGTTTGGCGATCGCGCCTAGGATCCGTTGCCGCCAGGACGAAGTGTGTGTGGAGATCGTGTCTAAGGGCAGGTATTGCCCGTACCGACTCTTGTACCGCGTCCACACGGGGACCACGGCGTAGGATATGGTGAGATAGAGGATGAGGGAGATGATGGCGGGAACAACCAGAGTCTGCAGATGTTAGTTAGCCCTGCCCGCTGTGCCTCGTCGGGTGCTTCTCCTGACCTTGAGCACCGAGAGGAAGCCCATACTGGCCGGGCCCTCGTCGTCGGCGAGGATGGAATCCGGCGGTGGATGAGGTATATAGGGTTCTCCGTCGGCTTGTCCTCTGCTGGCAAGACCCGCGGCTGACCACGCGATACTCATTCAGTCCGTATTGATTGTCCCGCCTGCCCGGGAAATGGCGCGGCCGTGGTCCCTGTGGTGATTTGGATTGTTGGCGGCGAGGAGGAGGGGGTCGGCGGCTGACCCAGGATATCGTTCCAAGGAGCGTCACCGCAACTGTGCTGGCCGTCGGGCGAGATGAGGTGAAATTGCGCGCGTGGGTGCGATAGGTAGCTGTGGGGGGGATGCGGTGGCTGGATTACTGTGATGCTGATTCTATTATTGGGTGCGCTTCAGGGGTCCGGCCAGGCGCAAGGCTACGTAGAGCGTACGGGATAATAGTAGTACGTACTAAGTACGGAGTACGTAGTAGTAATTGTACGTTGTACGTAGAGAGAGGTTGGGTTGTACCACGGTACGGTATAAGTAGCAGGGGGAGTTGGTTATTAGTCAGGTCTGTGATAGGGGAAGGGGTTGACTGCCGGACTACCTACCAGTACCGGTTTACCCACACATCAACGACGCCGGCCACCACGACGACGACGACAACAACTTCAACTACAACAACTACAACAACTACAACAACAACAACAACAACAACAACAGCAGCATCATCATCACTCTGTCCCTTTCTCTATTTTGGGCCTGTCCTATTTTCGGAACACTCCTTGCTGCCCGTTGGCCACTCACGGGCACCCGTCAGTCACTTCTACGCATTGCGGCGACATCGCCGATACCCGGTCTGTGCGGGTTTGATGTGCAGCCCTGGCCGGATTGTTTCACTTCCCAAACCTGGAGATACTTGACGGCGATAGCATCATATGCCTGTCTACCTATCTATCTATTCTACCTGTCTATCTGTCTGTCTGTCTGTCTGTCTGTTTGTATGCCTGTTTGTATGTATGCACCTACGTATCTGAATCCCCCCGACTCTGCTCTGGGCTCTCCCCCAACTCGGATACTCCGGTACGTCTCGTCGTCGGTGGCAGCTAGATCCTGACAGAGGTTGGGTGTGCGTCTCGCCAACCCTCCAACCCTCCGGAAAGAGCCAGCGACCTCAACTCCCAGCCCCATTCCCACTCCCACTCCCACTCCCACTCCCACTCCCATCCCCATCCCCATTCCCATCTCCACTCCCATCCCCATTCCCATTCCCCACCATTTCCACCATCGCCGGCCGCGACCTCGGATTCTCCCCAGCGTCGCAGACTTCCAGAGCTTCATGCTGATCTACCCTATCAATGCAGCCGCCCCTGGACGACCCTCGCCCCCATCACCACGCCGCACTCAACAAGCTTCCAGCCAGGTCGAATGGGCAGAATGCGAAGGACCTGGACCTGGACCTAAGACTGGATAACTCTCGAGTCGCTATACCGCACCACCCGGGCCTGCCAGGCGCATCACCACCGCTGGGGCAAGGATTAGGCGCCCTGTAATTGTCGAGACGTCGGATCGAGTAGAATCCCCATCATGTCTGCAAATGCCGACAAAACCAGACAGTCCTCTGGGGGCAAGTCCTTTTTCTCCCGGAGCAGCAAGAAGGACCGGAGACATGCCAGTGACGACGGCAAACTGGGAGTGGATATCGACAAGACGAGTTCCACCAACGGATCACGATCATCGCGTCACCAGAGAGGCGCCTCGGTGGCATCAGTCGAGATGCCTAATTCGCCCGGTGTGGATATGCCAGGCCTGAACATGGTGGCCGGAGTCATCACCTCCATCCCTTACGACAGCGTGACAGCAGATGGGAGATCGCCCATACCCGTGGAATACCTGCCCAGGAACGACCAGATGCCCGTGAGGAGAGAACCGCTGCCGCACCATCTGAACCAAAAAGGCTCCGACTTTCACCAGTACCCATCTTTTGATCCAGCAACGCCTGTCCATGGCAGCTCCCACCCGTCCGGGCCGCGGCCCGCTCCGGGGATGGGGAATATAACCATGGCATCCACGGGGGATCGCAGGACGGCGCTGCAACAGTGGGGGCCGGGGCAACCAAGGACGAGTAACGCGAGCACCGTGAACGGACACAATCCGAGATATGACTCCTATTCTACGGCCCAGTCTTCCGCCTATGGGAGACCGTCGTCCGACCATTCGAGCATGGACTCGAGTACCGAGCGATCCAGCGTGTTCTCCTCCGGTGGCTCGTCCCGGACCGCCATGCCAAATTCCAACTCGGCCAGCTCCTTCAACAGTAATCTGTCTCCCTCCCACGCGTCGAGCCGAGAATCGGGGCGTCTGACCAAATTTCCGAACCACCACATGTCTGGGTCGCCTTCTGGTTCGCTGGCAGGAGACGGGTTCGTACTCAACAAGCCCAGTGACGATCGGGTGATAGAAGAGCAATTCTTGGCGCTGATGCAGAAACGCGGATGGCACAACTTACCCGATCAAGCCCGGAGGCAGATGATGGCATACAAACCGTCGAAGAAATGGACCCTGGTACACCAGGATCGCCTGACGGAATGGCAAGGCGAGCAGAAGAGGCGCACCAATATAAGAAACACGGGACACTTCGGACGGGAGATGGAACTGCTGGCGAACGCAGAAGAGGAAGGTACCCCGGAGTGGTTCGTGCGGAAAGTGATGGACAACAGCATTTCCGCGAAGCAGCTCCAAAGTCTCGCGGTGAGCTTGCGTACACAGCCAATTGGATGGGTCAAGACCTTTGTCGAATGCCAGGGCCAGGTTGCACTCACGAATGTCCTGGGGAAGATCAACCGGAGGCAAGCCCAGGGGCCAGCCCCCGCAGATGGATCGACCAGTGACAAGGACCTGGATCGGGAGTATGACATAGTGAAATGTCTGAAAGCTCTCATGAACAACAAATTCGGAGCCGACGATGCACTGCATCACCAGCAGGTCATCGTGGCTCTGGCGACATCCCTCATCTCACCCCGCCTAACGACAAGGAAACTGGTGAGCGAGGTCTTGACATTCTTGTGTCATTGGGCCGAAGGCCAGGGTCACCTGAAGGTGATCCAGGCTATGGATTTTGTCAAGAACCAACAGGGAGAAAATGGGCGGTTCGATGCGTGGATGCGCGTGGTGGAAGTCACAGTGGATGGCCGAGGGAAGATGGGAAGTCTGGTCGGGGCCAGCGAAGAGGTTCGCAGTGGCGGTATCGGGATGGAGAACCTCCTGATGGAATACGCGGTCGCTACCCTGTTCCTGATCAATATGGTTGTTGATGCCCCGGAGAGAGACTTGCAACTTCGAGTCCATATCCGGGCCCAATTTACGGCATGTGGGATCAAGCGCATCTTGACCAAGATGGAAGGATTCCAGTACGATATAATAGATAAGCAGATTGAGCGGTTCCGCACCAACGAGTCCATCGATTACGAGGATCTCTTGGAGCGTGAGAATAGTAGCATCAAGGACAGCATCGAAGGAGACGTCAAAGATCTCAGCGACCCAACGCAAATTGTCGATGCCATCATGCAGAAGGTCCAAGGGAGCAGGACCCAGGATTACTTCATTTCTGCTCTGCAGCACCTCCTGCTCATCCGGGACAACGATGGAGAGGAACGTTTACGCATGTTCCAACTGGTGGATTCGATGCTCAGCTATGTTGCCATGGACAGGAGACTACCGGACATGGATCTCAAACAAAGTCTGAATTTTACTGTCCAGAGTCTGCTCGATAAGCTTCACACCGATTCGGAAGCCCGTCAAGCCCTCGATGAAGCTCTGGAATCTCGCCAGATCGCCGACTCGGCTATGGCCGAAAGGGATGAGATGAAAGCCCAGATTGAGCTTGGAGCCGACGGACTGGTCGCGAAGCTGCAAAGACAATTAGACGAACAATCTCAGGTCATTGAAATTCAAAGGCGGCAGGCAGACGCACTAAAGAGTGACTTGGAAAGCCTCCAGGCCGTTCGGGCGAAAGAGGCCCAACGAAATGAGCTTGAAACGAGAGAGCTGTATCTCATGTTGCGCGATGCTCAGGATATTGCCGCCTCAAATGCTGTGAAGGGTGCCAACGGAGGTGCCCTAGCAGAAACAGATCCCTCTCAGATGAAGGGTATACTGAACCGTGAGAAGCTCATGGACCGATTGGAGATGCAGATTGAGCGTCAAAAGACGCAATACAAACTCGAAGGCCGAGTCTGGGGTGATGCGGCCGGTCCCTCTGATCGTTTACGTGCCCTCCGCGAGGAGATGGACGGTGACGGATCTGGTGCCGGTGACGGATCTGGTGCCGGTGCCGGCGGCGGTGCCGGCGGCGGGCCTGGTGCTGGTGCTGGTGGTACACTTGGCGGTACTCCTCCGAGAGACTTCACTAACAGCATGCTGGGGAGCGTTTCTCGTCCAACAAGAATGCCTAGGAAGCCTGTCAATTCCCAAGAAATTCTTGTTGAGGCTGAAGGTGACGAGGGTACCATATACGAAATGCCTCGCGTGGTCGAGATGAGGAGACCCAATAAAACACCTGGGTACTTGGATGAGATGAGCTCCAAGGTCAAACGATACGATGCAAGTGACGACGAGGACGGGGACGGTGTTACGACAGGGCCGTCGCATCCAAGTCTCGAATCTGACTCCCCGAGGACACCCAGCGATGAGACAGCCCCTAAAGTCGGCGGGTTCAATGGGCCCCTACCGCCCATTCCACCCCAACCACCGGTGCCAGAGCCGATGCCTGAATCGTCTGAACCTCCTCCTCCTCCTCCTCCTCCCCCTCCCCCCCCCTCCGCCGCCACCTCTACCTGGAGCCATGGGCGGCCCGCCCCCTCCACCGCCCCCTCCAATGCCCGGTATGAGTGCAATGATGCCACCCCCGCCACCCCCTCCGATGCCCGGAAAGAAGTCTGGCAGCTTCCTCGATCAGCCGGCTTACAGCACCGCACCTTCGCTTGGCTTGCCTGTCACTAGGTCCAAGAAGAAGCTGAAGGCACTTCATTGGGAGAAGGTGGATACTCCTCTGACGACTCATTGGGCGGCCCACGCCCCAACTGCATTAGATAAGGAAGAGAAGTACGCCGAGCTATCCAGGAAGGGTGTTTTGGATGAGGTTGAAAAGCTGTTCTCGGCTAAAGAGATCAAAATTCTCGGCAAGGGCGCTGGCAAGAAGTCGGAAAAGAAACAGATCATCTCCAGCGATCTCATGCGAACCTTCCGTATGTACTCGACGCATCTCCGTTTTCTCCCCCTCGGCTAATCATTGATAGAAATTTCTCTCGCCAAGTTCTCTTCTTACTCGGTAGAGAAGGTCGTTCAAATGGTCATTCATTGTGACAAGGAAGTCTTGGACAATGCTGTTGTCATGGATTTCTTTCAGAAGGAAGACATGTGCAATGTGCCAGAGAACACTGCCAAGTTGATGGCGCCATACGCCAAAGACTGGACAGGACCTGATGCGAACAAGGACAGCCGTGAAATGGACCCGAGCGAGCTTACCCGAGAAGATCAGATCTATCTGCAAACGTCATATGAACTTCACCACTACTGGAAGTCAAGAATGAGGGCCTTGGCGTTGACCCGGACGTTCGAGGTCGAGTACGATGAAGTTTCTTCCAAGTTGAAACAGGTTGTCGAAGTCTCCGAGTCTCTACGAGACTCGGTGGCTTTCATGAATGTGCTGGGACTCATTCTCGACATTGGTAACTACATGAACGATTCGAACAAACAAGCTACTGGTTTTAAGCTCAGTTCACTTGCTCGACTCGGCATGGTCAAGGATGACAAGAACGAAACGACATTCGCTGATCTTGTGGAACGTATCGTTCGAACTCAATATCCGGAGTGGGAAGGCTTCACTGAAGACATCGGGGGGGTTGTGACCTCCATGAAGCTGAATGTCGAACAGCTGCAGCAAGATGCAAGACGTTACATTGACAATATCAAGAATGTCCAGATGTCCCTCGATTCAGGCAATTTGAGCGACCCGAAGAAGTTCCATCCCCAAGACCGGGTCAGTACCATTGTCCAACGATCAATGAAGGACGCGAGGCGAAAGGGCGAACAGATGCAGCTGTATCTGGAAGAAATGATCCGAACCTACGACGATATCATGGTCTTCTACGGCGAAGACCCCAGTGACGACAATGCCCGCCGGGAATTCTTCTCTAAGCTCGCCACCTTCGTGAATGAGTGGAAGAAGTCGAAAGAGAAGAACCTGGCTCTCGAAGCTATACGCAAACGCAACGAAGCCTCGATGAAGCGCAAGCACGCCCAACTCAAAGCTACCGGGTCATCAGATGGAAGTGCACCGCCGTCACCTGTCTCAAGTGGAGCCATGGACTCGTTACTAGAGAAGCTACGTGCTGCTGCTCCCCAGGCTAGAGATCAACGGGACAGGAGGAGGCGGGCCCGTCTCCAGAACCGACATCAAGTCCGCGTTGCGTCCGGGCAGAAGATCCCTGATCCAGATGAGATACCCGAGATTGAAGAATCCCTCAAGAGTCCTGAATCCTTCAGCACCGAGGGGGCCCTCCTGAGCCCAGACTCCGTTGGGCTCAGAGAAGGATCGGAAGATGACGTGGCTGAGCGTGCGGCAATGCTACTGCAAGGAATGCGCGGGAACGACGGCGCGAACGATACAGAAGAAAGCGAGCGGCGTGATAGTATGCGGAGGGCCCGCCGGCGTGACAACGCCGATGAAGAGCGCAAAGCTCGCCGCAAGCGCCGCGAGCAGGCGTCTAGCATATCCGAAGCTACCGAGGGCGACAGCACGATTGTGGAAGAGGAGTCGAGTACAACGCAGATCGTAGATGCGTCGATTACGGAAGAAGCCGAGGTGGAGAAGGTGCCGGCCCCGACGACGATCATTAGTCCGCCGAGCCCAGACGGTTCGAAAACCAACCCGATGGAAGGCGATGAGTGAGGCTGGAGCAAACGAGATGAACGGTGTATACGCGGATACGGGGTACGGCTTTCTAATGTTTAGTGCTTCGTTCGGGAGCTTACAGCCACCCCCTCTTCTTCGCAATCTCGAGCTGTATCTACGAAGGGAGTGAGAGAGCTCTATGATTTTGGAGCTGGGGCCTGGGCGTGGTGGGATGAAGGTTCGGATGCATAAGAGGATGGATGAATCGGAAACTCTCCGAGGAGATTCTCCGAGGAGAGAGAGGGTTTTTGCGAAATACGGGGTGCGATTGTAGTACTTGGAAATATGGAGGCCGAGGGATATTAGAAGGGTTGAAAGATGTGAGATGGAGGTGGAGGTGAAGAGAAAAGACGGGTGCTTGATTGCGGCGGGCGTTTGTATCGAATATATTTTCTCTGCATAGCGTGCGGGCCTGGCTTGGTCGATTGGTCGACTGCACTGCTCTTTGGAGAGGCAGCAGGGAGAGCCGAGCCGAGCCGAATAGAGTAGAAAGGAACGGATATGTAGTAGGGTGGGTTGTTATATACCTTTGATGAATGCAGATGGTTGAACTTTGTTTATTCTGCTTTGCCTTCTTCTTTCACTCTGCTCGTGTGAAGTAAATGTAGTATGAGTGGGTGATGTGATATGAGATGAGATAAGCAGTCAGCTTGAATATAAAAAGTAAAGGTTTAAAGGACTACGAGCTATAATTTATACTTTCGATCCGCGTTTGCTAAATGAATTAACTACAAATGAGTTTTCCCTGGCCGTCAAACGAGCATATACGCTCGAGAAAACAAATTCATCATGCTTATTTAATTAAAAGAACACTTCATGTTTTAGAAAAGTATGATGCCTCTCAAAGCAGAATGCCAGAAAGGTTACGGTAATAGACTACTAGCCTTGATTATCTCAAATAGGAAAATAAAAGAAAAGCATTAGTTAGACTTGAGAAGGGGAATAAGTATGGCATACTAAGCCTAGTAAGTAAGTAAGTAAGTAAGTAAGTTAGTAAGTTAGTAAGTGATTATCGCAGGATTTGATTTTGAATGGAACCGTAACGGTGTTTATTGAAATGGCCTAGGTATTCTATGGTCGCTTAGCGACCACGGGATCGTGTGCCCGAAGCTTGGCCGACTCCGAGCATACTAGGTTCTTATACGAATTTTGAACTGATGGAAGAGATTGTTGATTATTTTGATTATTATAATTTATGGTGACAGATGGCGTGTACTTAAATAGGTGGAGCAGAGATCAAAGGTTTAAGAGATGGCGATAGAAGTGCTTGATCTATTCAAGTGAGCAAAGGAGAAACTATAGATATGTACATGTATGGTACGTAGCCTCTAGGAGGTTGGCAGGCACGTGCAGGCATACGTAAGGAGCACGTAAGGTAAGGAAGGACCATACTGCATAACACACCCTTTAGTTGCGAAGCTGCTGCTCAGCTGACAAAAGGTCGCCTAAAGAAAAGCGGGAAAAAATAAAATAAAAAAAAAACTTAAAAGAAAATCTAGCTAAAAGATAAACGGAGCTTATAAGCTCTAACCAAAAGGCAAATAAAATAAAAGCTTAGCAAGCCAGCGCTAGTAAGCTGCAACGAGCCTCCTTAAAGCGGCAATAGCCAATAGCCTTTAAAGCAGAGTGCAAGGTGGGTCCGCTTGCCGTCGCAAAGACTCGCTAAGTTTAACTTCTACCTTTCAAAAGCAGCTCAAATAAAAAAACAAACGTAGCTAAGGTAAGCGTCCTATTCCTTATATTACTTTCCTCTCCGTCGCAAGCTTTAATACGGTTTTCAAGCTTTAATAAGCCTTTAGTAGCGCGAAAGTTATAACTTAATCTATTTTTTTAGCGTGCGCGAGCGGCTTTAATATCCTTTAGCGACCTCTTTTTAAATAGCTTTTCTTAAGCAATTATACGTCTAGGGTATTTGGACTTATCTTCGCTAATAAAAGCTTTATTCTTCTTTTATTAAAGCATTAAGCTTGCCTTAAGCTTTTCGTAGCTAAGCATAAAGAATCGTTCTTTAATAGCTTAAAGCTTAAACTCCGTAGCTATAAAGTTCCTCGGGTTTTCTTCAATATAAGCAAGTTTTAATAAGTCGCAAAAGGAAGGCTTTTAAGAATAAGAATGCATGCAAAATCAAATCATTTTTGTGACGACACGCCAGGTCTCCTGGACGCACCTCACATGCGCCAAGCTACCTCCCTCCTTTTTTCCTTCGTATTCTTCGTATTCTCTTATTCCCCGCTTTTGACCTATGAACCATGGTTCACGAGTCCTTGGCGCTTCTACTTTCGTGTATATAGACCTTAGCTACCTTCGACCTTTTACACTCGGTAGTTGTTGATTCTAAGTCATTACTTTGAGATTCTCCTAAGCTCCCATGTGAACCCCCGCGCTCCCGTAAGTTCCTTCAGGTAATCGCTTAAGGTCGTCACAATTTTCTTTTCGAGAAGCTCGCTAAAAGTAATAAAAACACTTTCACGAGCTCCTTCGGCTTATTAAAAATGCCTTTTTAAATATCTTTACGTATTCTTTCAAGCTTTTTAATTTAAAAGCTTTTCTTATATTAATAGCGTTTATTATAAGTTTTAAATAGCGACTTTTTTAAGCAAGGTTTGACTTTTAAGTTTTAAGCAATTGCTTTTAAGAAATCTTTTATAGCAAGAGAACCGACGATATCTTTGTTGGATTGCTTCCAAGCGATTGGGGAATATATTCGTAACTTTGTGAAAGGTCGTTGAAGTACTTGCAATTGCAAAACACTCGGTTGTAAAGGTATTTAAATTCGAACTGCTCCTTAAAGTTTAAGGGAGCTGATTCCTTTTATACGATTAAAAAGAATCACGTGCATTAGCTAACTACTAGGTTATATTCTTAAGTTAAGGGTCTTTTGAGCTATGGAATGCTAAGCGAGGCATGCTAAGTGGCTCGTAAATCTTGGTTCACGAGTAAACTTTTTTAAATACTATTAGCTAGTGTAAACACCCTGCCTGATAGGGCACCTGCTATGGCCATTAAGGCCATACTAAACGGACCCATCTTTTATAAAAGGGCACACATCTCTTAGCTAAAACAATCAACGAGCTTTCCACCCATCTTTTTTGCACTTTTTTATAAAGGCTCTAAAGCTTAGTGTTGGATTGCTTCTAAGCGATTGGGAATATATTCGTAACTTCGTAAGGTCGTCAAAGTACTTGCAATTGCAAAACACTCGGTTGATAAAGTATTTGAATTCTGTCTGCTCCCTAAAGCTCAAAGGAGCTGATTCCTTCTATAAGATTAGAAGGAATCACGTGCACTAGCTAACTAATAGGTTTACTTATCAAGTTAAGGGTCCTTTGCTTAGTGTAACATGCTAAGCGAAGCATGCTAAGTGACCCGTGAACCATGGTTCACGGGTAAGCTTTTTAATTACTACTACTATTATTAGCTAAGGTCGATATAGATATACCGACACCGGCAACTCTCTTTTTAGCAATCAGTGCTTTGCTAATTATTATATCGACCGAAAAAAGAAAGAGGGTAATCAAACAAAAGAAAAACAATCTCACCCTTTTAAGTCTTACTCTTTCTTTTCTTATAGCAGCTTTTCTACTTATCTATCCACTTGCACTTTTAAGGTATTAGTTAAAACTAGGTCTTGTAAAAAAGTGTTAGCTTCGATTTTAGTTATAGCGTTAGCAAAGTTAGATTTTCTTTCGATCTAACGTACTTTAAAGAGCTCTCGCTTCTCGTATAACTTACGAATAATTATAATATCGATTATAAAGCGCTTCTCTTTAGTAGTCTTTAGCTTGATTATATACTCGTATAACGAATAAGAGTTAATACACACAACTATAAGGAAATTAAAAATTCTTAGTTAAGCTGTGATTTAAGCAAAAGTAGTCGATATAGTAATAGCTATATCGATACTTAAAGATATAGCGTATAGCTCGGAAGCTAATATTGCTTTTATCACTTTCTTGCACTTTTTAACTTTTATAATACTTAATAAAAAATATTACTTATTAAAATGAACTCGTTCTCATTTACGTAAGCTTTATTATTAAAGATAGCTACGAAACCGATTTAAGAGCTGAAGTCCGCGTTGTTAGCAAAAGCTCCGTCTACGAACATAAAGAACTTCGCCGTTTTTAAGTTTAAAAGCACGTAATAAATCCTTTAAGTTAAGTGATCGATTAACTATTAGATTATTTTATTAAAAGCTTTATAATCTTCGTCCTTCGGTTCTTAATGCTAAGCAGCTATCGATAAAGCGCACGATGCTTTTAAGTAGTAAATAATAATTAAATACGTTTTTCGAGCACGTTACTTTAAGTACTTTTTAGCTCGTATAGCTAAATCGAGCTTGATTACGGCAAGCTTTTCATCTTGTCTTTTTTGCTTAATTAATAGCTCGAACCCGTCTTTATTTAAAGATAGCTTACATCTATTGAAAATCATTAATTCGGCGTATATAAAGATCTCTATTTCTTTGCTCTTTAGCTTAGATTTAACTAGCTCTTTCTTTTCTTTTACTGTCGGTATCTCCATATCGACCTTAGCTAGCTAGTAGTAGTAGTTAGGGAGCTCACCCGTGAACCATGGTTCACGGGCCACTTGTCATGCCTCGCTTAGCATGTCAGCAGTCAAGGGACCCTTAACTTGACAAGTAAGCCTATTAGTTAGCTAATGCACGTGATTCCTTTTAATCATATAAAAGGAATCAGCTCCTTTGAGCCTTAAGGAGCAGACAGAATTCAAATACTTTATTAACCGAGTGTTTTGCAATTGCAAGTACTTTAACGAACGTTACGACCTTACGAATATATTTTTAATCGCTTAAAAGCAATTTAACACTAATTAGTAGTTGATTTATTATTAAGTGATCAATCATAAAGAAGCTAAGACTTTATAGCGAAGATACTTTTTATTACGATACTTTTTTTTTTAATAACGGAAAAGCGATTTTATATTAAGTCGCTTGCTTATATTACCGATTTTCTTTTATTCTTACGGAAGAATGA